TAACACTCTTCTGAATAAATTTTGGCTACACAATTTTGGGACTGTGGCTACACGCATGCGACAAAGTACGACAAAAAAAATGTGTGAATATTAAAAGATGGAAAAAGACGAATCGCGTGGGAATTCGTTCTCCATGCATGGGAAATATAATAACCATCGGCCGTGACCGGATAAAGGATAAATGGATCGCGATTAATCCATCGTTGAGCGACATTAGCATGAGTAATTGCTATGTCGCTTCTCCAATTAATCTTGAAACATCGGTTTCATGCGTTTACACGATCTAATTACAGTTACCTGTGCACGGTGATTACACTTTGTCAATTAACCGTACAGAACTTGATAGTGTACATTTGAATTCAATCGTATCGATAAATAATTCCTCCTAACTCTGACGACTAACCGGATAAACGTGTTTTCTGTCGATAATCCAGGTTCGATTTATCAGAAGTAACATTTTCTGAGATTTTATTTATAAGTGAAGAAAATCGCCGCTAATTGTAGAAAATATAATTTTGATGTGATTTAGGTTAAAAAAAGCATTGCTGCAGCGAAAGTGTTAATTATTCGAAATATAGAATTTTCGATTAGAGAATAGTTTATCAGCTGAAGGTACTTGAAGCTCGTATCAGCTGTCGATATTTTATCTTCAGATTTGATAAGCGTAGTTTTGTAGATGTTTAAAATTCACAGGATTTTTGTAATAATTATCGAGTAAATATTTGTAACGTTTATTAAACTTACCGATATCCTCATTTCTACTTGTTTCTCATCGGTAACGTCGAAACGAGCCACCCGAAAGCGAGGTTTCAGGACATAAGATGGCACCACTCCTCGTCCTGAGACTCTCACCGTCCATTTTGTCCTCGTTCTAGAACTGGAAACTTCGAAATACTCTTCGTTCTAATAAAAATCAATCACTATCATTAATCTCTATTTCACAAACAGTAATCTGTTATAAATTCATAAATCTCGATGAAAATTTCGACTAAAATAATTGGTTATAAAGCAGACACCTTGGTGTTCCGCAATCGATACTATATCGAACGAGAAATTTCAAAATCCTCAACTTCATTTCGTTCAATTCCCAATCGTTCCCCAAAAACTCTATCTAACCGCAATTCTACCAATAATATTGAAACAAAATAAAAACATCAACGAAAATTTGTAAATAGCAAATTTTCACAAACCAAAAAAAAAAGAAGAATAAAATACAGCAAAAAAGTGAATATTTTCAAACTTGAAACAATTCCAAGATTTCCTCAAAATGCCCTGCGAGTACAAAACCCAGAGCTTCAAGATCTGTCGATGCGCGTGCAAATGGCGGTGTCAGTGTTTAATTCCTCGAAAAAGGAAACCTGGTCCACCTTTCGGCAGTAGTTTGCCACGTGACGTGAAAATTGGAATGCACCCAAAATTCTACTCAGGCGATGTCGCCTCGCCGCCCATTGGAACTTACGATCCTCCGCTTCCTAGATCCAAGGACACTTCCACAAAGTACTTTCTCGTCGATCCTCCACGTTCGAATTTAAATACAGAAAAAAGTTGTCGCGATGAAAATTAGCTGGACGAAGGAACTGCAGTCCGAAGAATTCTCAGCGACCATGGGAGGAAGGATGCTGGAGAAATACGCGATCCAGAGGAATCTCGCGAGGGAAGGACGTGGTCCAGGAACTCACGAGATTGCACAGTGGCCGGAGGAAATTTTGGAACGACCGTGCAAGAGTGTTCGAAGGGACGTTGGATTTGGAACTGTCCCTCTGTTCAAGCCTTCTTGGCCGTCTGCTACTCCTGGACCAGGCGAATCTTTGGAGAACCATTTTGTCCGGAATTTTCAGGAGACTTTCACCTTTGGAGATAGCTTTGAAAATTTGGAAATATATTAAAAATGCCAGTTTTTTCTACTTAAGAAACTTCTTAAAAGTATGACAGACACATTCGTGAAGTTTCAAATTGATCTACTAACCAGTTTCGTTAGAAAAGTGTCTTTAAGGGACATATTAAAAAATGCCAAGGTTCGAAATTTGAAAATTAGAAAGTTCTGTTTAAAAACCGTAGGCTTGTTCGTAATTTTTTATCGCGTGCCTTCTTAGAAGTATGACAGACACATTCGTGAAGTTTCAAATTGATCTACTAACCAGTTTCGTTAGGAAAAAAGTCTTAAGTGCTTGAAAAGGTGAAAGCTTCCTTAATGTAGAGTCTTTACTGACACTTTTAATTAACCACTGTAGGATACACAAGAAAGAATCCCTATTACTACATCGATAAAAAGAGACGCGACGGTTCATCCTGTGTTCCGACATTTGAATACGATGGATTACGACCTAGATTTCGTAGAGTTACACAGAACTGGTCTCTGCCTTGCAATTTGTACGTAGTTGAAAAAATAGGGGAGTATGTAGCGAGTTATCGTCGAATTATTGTGATAGATATGACGTGGAGCATCCGAAGAGCATGGAGGCTTTCTTGAAAAAGGTGACGGGGAAAAGAGGACCCTACGATTTGTTCACAGGTGTTTAGAAGAGGGGATTGCGTGTTTTCGGGGTTGTATGTGTTTGATTTTGTTAGGACCGAGAGACCACACCACTGTTAGAGGCTACTTTGCGTCGAAGAAATTGGAAGATCGCGGAGACTGGCCTAAATCGTTGCCAAGCGAGCTGAACAAGCTATTGCACAAGTCGAACTATTTTAAAGGACGTTGGACCACCTGTCCGAGGTACTCTCGTTAAATTTATGCCCGTCGGGTATATTCGTACGGTCCAGCACATGGGAAATTTATTCGGGAAAAAGCGGCGAGCGGGAATAAGAATTATTCTGAAAAGTTTTCTTTGAAGAATCGTCGAGAGAA